TTCATTGATGTACATTGCTCAGAGTTACATTTATGTGAGTTGTGTGGCCATATAGATTTCCCAAATAAAAAAGTCTTCCCTCCCCTTGTAAAGAGGGAGATTTAGTTCAAATTGCATGTTTTTCTGCAGTGCCACGTTCACGTTTTTTAATGGACTTTTGTTTGTGCTTTCTTGACCTTGTCATTCAATTTTTAATTTGAAAAATTAAAAAAAAATTAGTATCCCAAGAATTACATACCTTATACAATCTTTGGCTTAGTTTTCCAGAAACCCTCAAACTTGAAACAATGATTTTTTTTCAGGGAGAATATTTGTGGCATTTTCTGCAGTGAGTATATGTGGTGTTTTTGTACATTGAATGAATAGTGTGTCATAAAAATAGCTTAACAGTACTCCTGCTCTTGCCTCCACGTTTTTCTTGCTGTAACTCAACTGTATGCCATTCCTTTTTGTCTGTATATAGGTGGTCATTGCCACAAATATTGCTGAAACTTCACTTACAATTGATGGCATCTATTATGTAGTTGATCCTGGTTTTGTAAAGCAGAAAGTATACAACTCCAAGACAGGGATTGACCAGCTGGTTGTGACACCAATTTCTCAGGTATCCTATATTTTTTGGGTGCTATTTTGCCTAAAGCTTTTAACAGGGGTAGTTTGCAGTCAGCACAATTTCTGCTGGTGAATGGATTCTTTATCTTGCTCCAATCTATGAAGAGCAATACAGGTAGTCCTTGGGTTATGACAGCAATTGGGACTAGGATTGCCATTGCTAAGTGATGCAGTCATAAAGCGCGATGTCGAGTGACTGCATCGTTTAGTGATGACAATCCCAGCAGTCCTGGTAATCCCAAGATGCATGGGTCATCAAGCAGAAAGCAGTGGGAGTCCCAGGTAAGGAGCGCAGGAGTGCTGCGGGGGGGTGGGGGAGGCCAAGGGGGTGCTTGGGAGACCCAGTGCAGGTTGAGTGTGAGTTAGGGGAGGCTGGGGTGCTGCAGTGCATGTGCAGGAAGGCTGGAGGGGGATGGGGTAGCAGGGCACACATGAGGAAGGCTGGGGGTGTGGATGTCATGGCAGGGCGTGTATGCAGCAAGGCTGGCTTGTGGATGGTGCAAGAAAGCTGGGGGGACTTGCCAGAGCAACTTGCGACTTTCCCTGCTGGCCTCCCCATTCACTTTGCTTGTGGGAAGCGGTATGGAAGGATACAAATGGTGATCACCTGACCATGGGACACTGCAACTGTCCTAAGTGCGAGCCGGTTGCCACGTGCCCAAATTGCGATCACGTGACCATGGGGATGCTGCAATGGCTGGAACTTCAAGGACCAGTCGTATGTACCACTTGTTTAGCGCCATCGCAACTTCAAATAGTCACTGAATGAGTGATCAGTAAGCGAGTACATAAATTTTAAAAATGTGCTGTTCCCTTGTTCTCTGCACCAAGCTTTTGTCATGGAGTGGCCTAGTACAGCAGTGAGTCTTTGTTTTGCGGCATCATATTGACATTACAGAAGACTAATCATTTGTCAGGATTCAAGCAGCAATACCTGTACCATTCAGTTCTATTTTAAAGGCTGGAGGGTTTTTTCTTTTTTAATGAATCTTGAGCTTCTTTGAATGCTAAATGTAGTTCATCGTGTATAGAATATGTAAAAACCATTCAAGTTCCATGGAGCATCTCTTGGACTGTTTTTGTAACCTTTTGCTTATATGTCATGTTCTGCTGTACATATTATCTGCTGCATTCCTTCCATTTTTCATTTTTTTGCCTGTCTTGAATTGCAGCCATACTGTGTCTGGCTCTGATGCAAATTAAACTATGCTATGGGGAAGCAGAAGGAATGAACTCTGCTATGTATCTTTTCATTTGTAATTCCCATAGGCCCAAGCTAAGCAACGAGCTGGAAGAGCTGGAAGAACAGGCCCTGGCAAGTGCTATCGACTCTACACAGAGCGGGCCTACCGTGATGAGATGCTGACCACCAATGTGCCTGAGATTCAGAGGACTAACCTGGCCAGCACGGTATTGTCTCTCAAGGTAAGCGCTGGTGCCTAAATGACTTCATGCTTTTGTTCAGCATCTTCAAAAAAAGTCTTACCCAACTGTCTTTATAAAGGTAGAAGTTGAGGGATTTAACAACAAATTAATCTATAAAACTGAGAGTCATTTTGGTGGCGGCAATGCTGGGGAACATCTTTTTTAGTTGCCAGATGTGTGCATAATACTCATTATCTTTTTTTTCTCTCTGGCATACTCAGGCTATGGGTATCAATGATTTGCTGTCTTTTGATTTTATGGACGCCCCCCCAATGGAAACTCTGATCACTGCAATGGAGCAACTGTATACTCTGGGAGCTTTGGATGATGAAGGGCTGCTCACGCGACTGGGGCGCAGGGTAGGATTGGCATTGTTCAGATTTTGTTACTGTGGTTGAGCAGAGGAAATCAATATCCAAACTAGTGTAACCTTTGGGAAAGGCTATGTGTATATGACAGCTGTATTTGTACTGTTGTGATTACTTTGTGCAGTCCATCAGCATTTTTGATGGGCTCCAATCTCAGAAGCTGGAGATGGCTTTACACTGGAGGCAGAGGAAAGATGATAGTAACAGGAAGTGAGAAGAGTTTATTAGGCATTGGAATCATTCTTTGCATGGCCTCGTAGGGTAAGAGAAGGATGGTGGTACTTCACCCTACTCTGCCAGTAGTAGAGGGAAACATGTTGGGGGAAAAGCACAATAATGTGTAGTGCTCCTTCCCAGAAAGTTCAGTGGGATGTTTCTATCAAATTAGTTTTTGCCATTACTTTTCTTAGTGACGCTATATTTATTTAAAGCATTTGTTCACCACTGTTTAGTCTAAAACGAGCAGCTTATGCTATAATAAAAGCAAGACAATCCTTGTCCTCAGTGTTATCTCTGAAGAGGGAAGAATCTCAGGAGAGAAGGAGAGAAAGACAGACAAAGCCCATTCCAGAAGCCGGCTCGGCTGGTCTCTTTCCTTATCCTCACCTCCATCATCACACAGCCAGTTGACCTGTATGAGGCAACCAAGGACTTTTTCCCCCAGTTTTATTTATTTAAATAATTATTTGTTATGGTGTTATCTTGATTGCTGATATTACATGAAATCTTCTTTGGAAGCATCTGTATTCTGAAAGCTGTCATAATAAATATATAATCATAAATAAAAGGAGAGTGGGAAGCAAAAAGATAAAAGAATTAAGGGCTTAGTTCTTCATGTTTCAGGATGCTCAGAATAAACCAACAGTGATAGAAATGGGCTATTCCAGGAGGCCCATATGCTGATAGCCTACTCAAGGAGAATGCTGGGGATCAAGTTAAAGGTCATACTGGGCAACTACTCCCATTACAAAAACACTTTCCCAGGGAAATTAAAACTGTCTGATCAGCCATAAAACATTTAAAAGGTCAAGGAATGCTGATGAGCTGGGAAAAGATACTGGGAGGCAAGCAGTGTTCTGGGAGAGCAAAGAAAATAACTCCCTAGAAAGAAACTGTGCTTGTGAAACAATGGTCCTTTGTTCTTTCAAAAACCCTTATTGTCTTTATAGTCTTGCCCCATTACTTCACAGTTACAGTATACCCAAATTACCCCACTAGGCACATGATGTGCTATATCCAGTGAAATACCTGTCTGCTTTATCCAATCACATGTCTATTTTAATGTGTTCCTATAAATAGGAATGGTAACCCCACCCATCTTTAGGGCTGTCTTTGCCTTCAGCCCTGTCAATAAACCAATTAGTGCTTCAGTGTAATATGTTCTTGTCTCCAGTTCAAACATACCACTTTAAGGGTTTTTTTTTTTTTATTACACACCTAAGCAGATGGACTTATTGTTGGTATTTACACAGTAGTTAGTTGCAGTGACTGGAAGGAATCCTTAGCAGCAGCGGACAGTGATGATATACCTTACTTGGGAGCTATGGATGGGTGTATTTGTGTATTTTTCACATATAATTGTAAGTCAAGCCTCACACAGGGACACTTCAACCAAATTATGTTTTTCTCCTTCCTGACAGATGGCAGAGTTCCCACTGGAGCCTATGCTTTGCAAGATGCTCATTATGTCAGTGCACTTAGGTTGCAGCGAGGAAATGCTCACCATTGTCTCAATGCTGTCTGTGCAAAATGTTTTCTATCGACCTAAGGTAAATTGGGGAGCAATGGAATGAAAGAGATTGTATCTTACATGGCAACCATGCGCTGGTCCCAGCTAGACTGGGGCAGGGAAGAAGATAACATGCAATTGCTGATCTCATGAATAGCAGATCTGATGTAGAAGTGAAAGGCTTGATTTCCAGCCTTATCCTTATCATGCAACAGCTTCTTGATTTTAGAACAAGATGTTATTAAACTAGGGCTTTAAATTCTCAAGTGTTACTTGGTAATCCTTGTCACCTATTTATTATGTCAATTCTGTTAGGTAAGTATAATCTAATATAATACAGATAAAGAAAGAGCATTAATTCTAATCATATCCCTTCCAACAGCACTGAATAGTGTAAAATGTGCAGCTTTGTTCAGTTTCAGTTATAAGCACTGGGTAGTGATTAATTTCAGAAGTCAAATAGATCTAAAAGGATGGCTGACTTGCTGATATAAAAGTTTGCATATTCTGCAGAGTGAGATCGTTAATAAAAACTAAACTTCCTGTTTTCTGTGCAGCTCTGCTTATACAGGTCCCTTGGTATTGCCAGTCATTTAGCATTATGTAATTAATTTTGTAATCAAGAATATAAATGATAATATACATTCCAATAATTTGCTTGAAGGTTAAAATTATTTTTAAATTCTGTTTTATCCCTTTTTTGCACTTGCCAGGTTTAAATATACTTACTAACATTTCATTACAAAATATATTCGCCACTCTAGAAAATGCATATTTCTGTACTTGGAAAGGTGGAAGTTTAGTAAGGCTAATTTCATTTCATATATGTAGGACAAGCAAGCTCTTGCTGACCAGAAGAAAGCTAAGTTCCACCAAACTGAAGGAGACCACCTCACACTTTTGGCTGTTTACAACTCCTGGAAGAACAACAAGTTCTCCAATCCCTGGTGCTATGAAAATTTCATCCAAGCCCGCTCACTACGTCGAGCCCAGGATATTCGTAAGCAGATGCTGGGAATAATGGATAGGTGAGTCTGTGAAATAGGGGAGAAATTTGTTTTTCAGCCAAAAAAACAGGTTACAGGAATCTGTATGTGGCAACATCTAGGCTTGAGTATTATCTGAAAAGGTTTTGAAAATATAATAGCTAGCTGTGGAATATAACAGCTAAGTTGTTGACAAAAATTGGTTGGATTGATTGATTGATTGATTGATTGATTCAGGACAGCATAGACAAGTCATACATAATAACCTGAACCATTAAAATGTAATAAAATATTTTACCAGAGACAAATTCATCCAACACAAAAAACAGCAACAACAGAATCAAGACAGGCCCAAAATCTCCCAACTCAGAGCCTGGAGGAAAAGCCATATCTTAAGAACTTTCTGAAAGGTAGGTAGGGTCAGGGCCATCTGAATCTTGGGAGGAATGCTTTTCCATAGGGTAGGCACAGTGACAGAGAAGGCACATCTGTGTCCCACCAGATGACACTCCTAAAGGGATGGGACATGGGAACATGCCCACCCTATCTTATTGGATGGGCAGAAATAATTGGAGATAGTCGGCCCCACAAATAACCAAGCACTGTGTCATGAACGGTTGTATAGGTCACAACCACTACCTGGAATTACACCTGGAAGTCTGCTAGTAACCAGTGCAAGATTGCAAAGTAGAGGTGTTACATGGGTATATTGAGGTGCACTCATAACTCTTCATGCAAGCAGGAATCATGAGTCCAGGAGAACCCCCAGTTACAAACCAGGTCTGTCTGGAGTAATGTTGACCCTCTCCAGAACCAAAAATGAAAACTCGCTGGATTTGGTCATGTTACACCTATTGATTGATTTAAGTGCCATCAAGTTGGTGTTGGCTTTTAGTGACCACATAGACTTTGTCCAGGATGACCTCTCCTAATCTAGCCTTTTAGATCTCTCAAAAGTGCATTCATTGCTGTTGTAATTGAGTTCATCCACCTTACTGCTGGTCATCCTCTTCTCTTTCTTTCCACTTTTTCTGCTATTAAGTACTTTTCAAGATAGCATCATATAAAGTGTCCAAAATATAATAGTTTAAGCTGGTCATTTGTGTTTGAGGGAAAACTCTGAATTGAATTGTTTTGTGATCCATTTGTTTTCTTTTCCTGGCTATCCATGATAGTCTCAAGAGCCTTCTCCAGTACCCAAGTTCAGAAGCATCTTCAGAGTTCAGCTTTCACATCCACAGTGTATCACAGGGAAAATCATTGCTTGCACAATTCTAATCTTTGTAGGGAGAGATACATCATGGTATCATGAGGCAAATTAACATCTTTTAAAAGTTAGTATTCTGTACACCAGTGTATACGGTAAAGTCACTGAAGTGGTGGATAGTTTCTGTTTTTTAAAATTGACTATAAATAGTAAAAGAAACAGTGGTCAAGAAATACATCACATATTTGAATCCTAATTGCTTAGGAATGTGCTCACAGTAGGAGGCAACACTTAACTGCCCTTTCCTATAAAATACTAGAATTACAGAAACAATAGAGCCAGTAAAGATAATCCATTGTTGAAGATAAGCTTTAGGAGTTGAATAATACTGATATTTGGGCATGGAGATCTAAAGCAATTTTTTTCTTGGGAAAAAAAACTCTTTTAATTGGAACTTACACAGGGAATGTGTGCCCGAGGATCTCATCATTGAACCCATTTGTTCTAAAGTCTTTCATCACACCTTGACTTTGACAGGCACAAGTTAGATGTGGTGTCTTGTGGAAAAGCAACAGTACGAGTCCAGAAAGCCATATGCAGTGGTTTCTTCCGGAATGCAGCCAAGAAGGACCCACAAGAGGGCTACCGGACCTTGATTGATCAGCAGGTGGTCTATATCCATCCCTCGAGTGCCCTCTTCAACCGCCAGCCTGAATGGTAAGGGGGGATTGAAATTAGAGAATGAGGTCTATTTGAATAGCCCCTGAATTTGCCTTACGTGGATAAATAATAATTGCAAAATGTGAAAGAACTGTACTGCTAGTTATTTGGGAGCAAAAGATAACAAAAAATATTGCTATGAATTTGAGGAGATTGTATGAATCTAGAGCAATAGTATCATTTTGTATTTGCAAAGTGTGTGGTGATCCTAAATATGTCTAAATGCCTCTAGAACTTCATGGTCTAGCAGATTTCTTGAATTTGCATAATTTCTTCTACCAGGATAATGAGATATACTGCTTTACCCTCTATTATGGTATGACACAACTCTGTTTTGGTATGATGCAATTGAAAGTTCATGGAATCTGAGGAACATAACCGACTGTCCTGTTTGGCAGGTTGTAATGGAGAGATTCAGCTGCACAGATTCCACAGCAGCTTTTAGATTATAAGCCAGGTTCAAGATTTTACTTTCAACATATAAAGCTCTAAATAACAATCAGAGACCAAAAAATATGACCGACTGTTTTCACCGTTATAGTCCTGGACAATCTATGAGATCATAGCAGGAGATCCTGCTGTGTATGCCTAGAACTACAGAGTGCAGTTTTGTGGTTACTTGTGTGTGGGCTTTCTTTGTAACAGTTCCTATGCTTTAAAATGTTCTGTCCCTTGAAGACTAACTTCACATCTTTTAGGCATCTTTTGCTGAAAATTTATTTCTACATCCAGACCCATTCAGTATGAATGCTGAATAAATGATTGTGGTTTCTGTTTCATTTTCTCTTTTCCTTGCCCTCCCCTTTTTTCCTATGCATTTTTATATTGTTTTTAATTTATTATTATGTATTTTATATTTTGTAAACTGCCTTGAGATGCTTTGTCTAGGAAGCAATTTAAATATATATTAAATAATAAGTTTTCCCTCCAAAAGCAGTAGTTCTTAAACTGGGAGTAATTACTCCCAAGAGGGTAATTTGGACATATCTTGAGGCTCATGGGGCAATTTATAATTGCTTGTTTGTGAGTCAAGGATCCAGTATGAGACTGTTGCTGCCAAGATGCTTGTGTAAAAAAAGGGATGTTTTTTTTTGTTTTGTTTTTTGTGGGAGTAATTACATTATTCAAGACTTGGAAAAGGGGTAATTGACTCAAATGGTTTAAGAACCACTGGCCTATAGCATTATTCTAACTTCTAGAATAGGATTGTAATGTCTGCAGTTAGTTGAGCCAAATCTGGAGCTATGCCTTGCTGTGGATGATCTTCCACTTTTCTTGAAAGGACAAGGTCTGCCACCTCAGAATGTTTCTTGGTCCAGCTTTGGTCCATAATACTTAGGTGGAAGCTAATTAGATTGCTTTTGTACGGTGTTAAATGTGAAGCAGCTATACTCCTTTTTAAATAAATTCAGCCTGAATGTTGTTGTGCATGCCTTGGCCAAATCCACACTGTATTACTATAAAATGCCCTCCATAGAGCTGCCTCTTAAAAATGTTCAGAAACTTCACCAAACTGATTTCTGAAGTCCTTACTTTTTGCATCACCTATGGTTCCTTTTAACTACATTGGCTTCCACTTTATTTCCCTGTCCTATTCAAAGTCCTGGTTGTCGCCTACAAACCTTTAAGTGTTTTGTATTAAGAAAATTGAGAATGACTTCCGTCTGTGTGATTTTATTCATCAGCTGTATTCATCATCAGAGGAACTGCGGGGCATCCCACAGTAGTCAGGAGCTTGATGAGCTAGAATGTGAGATGGGATCTTTTTTATTGTAAATACCTGTTGCAAAGTTCAGTGAAGCTTGGTTACATCCAATTTTTTAAGAATCAGACAGGCTGCTTAGATATTTTTATCATGCTTTGATGTCTGGCACAGATTCCTCTTTGATCATACTCAGCTCTTAGATTTATTATATGAAATTGTTTAATAATTTGGATGTTGTAATACAGTATATAGCTTCTATATTTCAGGTATTTTCGCTGTCCTGTACAACATTTAACATATTCTCCAGGTCTTGTGTTTTGCATCCAAATTCAGTAACCCCTGTCAGAAAAAGGGTTGTGAAGAAGTCTGCATGCTGGAAGCCTCTTAATTGATTAATGGCTTAACTTATAGGCTGCTTTAATCACATTTACAATTCTAGATGTCTTACAAAGTACAAATAATTAAGCTTAAAACAGCAAGAAAGATTGATCCAACAAATAGCAATAAGATTGCTAAGACTTGGGTTAGAAAAACAACACCCTGTAAAAAACATAAATCAAATAATACTGCAGAATTCACTGAATACTCAAAATGAGACTTCTTTATTCATGGTGAAAAGTCAAGCTTTATATATTTGGGCAACAGGGTCAACACGGAACCTTATTCAGGAAAAGAAACAAAGGTGCCAAATCTCTAGCTACACTGAATACAATTGTTTGAGAAGGAGAGGCAAGGTACAGCCACTGCAGAGCCAGGCATTGTCTTGGGTGAAGACAAGAAATGATTTCAGGCTGTAGGGCTTTGTCTTTACCAAGAGGAAGTTAGTTGCTGAGTTCCACAGGGTGAAGGGAAAGGCTGATGACTAAGGCCATCCCACAAATTGTTGGAAAGTAAAGCAGCAGGCAGGAGGAGGCTTCCTGGGAATAGAGAGCCTCGTTATGGTGGCTATCTCCGATAGCAGCCTGGATGGCTCTTCTGTGAAAGAAGGATTGGTGTGTGACAATGGGCATGGCATGTAAGAGAAGAAAACTTAGAATCATCTTGGAAAGAGCAAAGACAATAAAATGCAGGTTACTAATACTCAAAATAATGTGGAATAAAACGACTTTTATTTCAGGCTCATAACACTTGTCTGTTTTAAACTTGGAATGTTTGGTACACCCTTTTTTGTTATGTTCTTTGGTCATATTTTGTCATATCCTTTTATCATCATATTTCAGTGACAGGTTTATCTGTGGGGGTTGAAAACCTGAGGTCTTATTTTTCAAGAAAATAAGTTCTGACAATGTTTGATTTTTGCCCTTGTTTTATCTGAGCCAACAGGTGCTTTAAGAATGGCAGTCTGCCTATATGGAATGTCTGTGGAAGGCAGAAGAGCTCTGTTTCAAGAGAAAATGATGTCCTAATCCTTTTGTTTTTTCCTCTTAGGGTGGTGTACCATGAGCTTGTGCTCACAACCAAGGAGTATATGCGAGAGGTTACCACCATAGATCCCCGCTGGCTTGTGGAGTTTGCCCCAGCCTTTTTCAAGGTTTCCGATCCCACAAAGCTGAGCAAGCAGAAGAAGCAGCAGCGCCTGGAGCCACTTTACAATCGCTATGAGGAGCCCAATGCCTGGAGGATATCACGGGCATTCAGGCGTCGATGAGCCTTCATGCTTGTACAGCACAAACTGTTGGATATCTCTATATCACACACTCTGATCTGGGGCATATTTGGCCATGTACTGTCACTTTGGTGGTTAGGTCTCAAGGCAAGAGATGGACGAGAGAAATGCAGCGCTTGAAAGGCACTACCTTCATCTGACTGATATCATGGTTAATTTCAGAGTTGCCACTTATTGTAGACAGACATTTTCCTTCTATTTCTATGCTGTCCAAGGATCAAAAGTTAATAATATCAAACTTTCTCGGTTAATAAATTATTGTTTGAATGTTAGTTTGTAGGCTTCTCACATTGAAAACTAGCTGTGATTTTGGTGGAAGTGAGAAGAATCCCCACTCCTGCATGTAAGGAAGCCATATTTCAGAGGGCGATAATACTGACTGCCTTTTTTTGAACCTCAGCAACCCATTTGGGGGGTGGAGGGTGGTTGTTATAATGTATACTAACCTAAAAAAAATGTTAATTGGCATCCTAATTATTGCATTAAAGCAATATTCCTGTATTTTATCAATTATTTTCCCAAGCAGTATTTTTTTCTAATTTTAGATGAGAAAACAGAACAATGTTTCTGTTACTCTTCTATCTTTTTCTACTGGTCTGTCTGCAGTTATTGGACAGTGCTTCCTGTCTTCTTAGTGTTAGGTAGGAGCCCAAATTTGCAGAACCTGTAAGAAAGAAAGAAGTTCATGGGGGATCAGGGAACTGGGTAGCATTTCTTTGTCTGCACAATAAGGGAAGCTTTTAAAACTTCTTGTCTTCATTGTTGTGGAAATTTCCCCATAATTTTAGGAGGGCAATATAACATATTTGGGGAATTATTAATTATACTACTTTTTTTTTTAAAGCTCCTTTCTTTTCCATTGCCCACTCCCAGAACCTAAAGATACTAAATGTACATTAAGAAAGGACCAGATTTATCTATATGTCCATGAGGTAGTGGCTGTTCATGCAACCATATGAATTTTATTGCTACTTTGATTCCATTCCCATTATATTTTTGCAATCTATTTGCAATGAAAAGATGAGTTTAAATGGAGACCCCTGTGGGAGGGATTAAAATTAATTTTTTCTCATCCAAGACTCTGAAAAGGTGAATGATCCCTATCCTGCTTTTTAACTTTGTTGGGGTTTGTTTGTTTTTTATTTTTTTACATACATACATACATACATACATACATACATATATATATTTAAAATAGCATTTTGCTTATTGAAGATTTCGTATTCTTGTTTTATTTCACTTCCTAGCAAAAAAGTGGCAGGAAATTCTACTATTGTTGTTCTGTGGTTTCTGATTTTTGGGGTTGTAGAACCACAAAAGAATCAGGGAGGACTTTATGTGTTTGAAGTCAGCAACTTGCCTGCCTCTACTCTACATGAAGATCTTTAATTATTAACATCAATTTTGTACAGTGAGAAACTGCCCAAAATAAATTCTTTTTTTACAGTATCTTCTTATACCATATATTTTTTTCTGAGGTCTTGAGGAAAAAGAAGAGAGTGATATCCAATGACTTTATTTGGCTAAGTCTATTTATCACTGCAAGAAGCTAGCATATGTCAGCTAAAGGCAGCTTGAAATTCCTAGCTACAGTGCCAAACAGTGAAAACATCTGGTTTGAATTAATTTATAAGAATAAACTGGTATGACTTGGAGAGTTGGAAGCGAAATAATCTTCTGCTTATAGCTAAAACTGTTTAGAGAATTGGCTTTGTGAGGAGGCGGGGTGAAACTGACATACCCCAAAGTAATTTTAGGATTGCATTGGAAAAGGGCAGAAGCTGGGCTAGGACAGGTCTCAGATTACAAAGGCTTTGGTACATGCCATGTTGCCCACAATGATATTCAGACAAATGCAATCTGATCTGTAGTTTTTATTTGAACATTCACTACTGTGCTATGCAACTCACACAATGTATTCGTAATTATGCACTTCAGTTATGTTAATAAAAAAAAGGGAGACTAAGTACTCTTAATTTCTCCCAATACTGACTAATTTTTTTTTTTTTTTGAGTGCCTTCAAGTCAGTGTTATTTCCTGGCAACTTCCTGGATAGTCCCTGCAGTTTGTATACCAAAACATTAATTTTCAACAAAATAAGTATCACAGCTGAAAGTGATCCTAGCTGATATCCTTGATACTTCTCTAGTTGTGAAACAGCTAGATGCCACCATGTGGTGGCGAATTGTTAGTTGATAGCAATTGCCTCTTCGAAAGTGTTTTATCTTTAAATTTAAAGATTAAATTTATCTTATATGCCTCCCCAATGGGACATTGCATTCCTTTCCTTTCCTCAAAACACATGTAAAACCAGTGAAGTTACAGAAGCAGCAACAGCAGCAGTTAATTTCAGGGTTGTCTTCACCTCAGACTCAGCTCATCGGTCTTCGCAGGCTTTGGGCAATCTCATAGGTGCTCAAGACAGTCTACCTGCATGATGTATCATACATATCTCTTATTTTTTTGTTCTCAGCTTTGAGTCATCTGAGATTGTTTTTGGATTAAAAATTTTTCATAGCTTTGTAGGCCCTGGACATTGTGTCCAATGAATAATTGAACCCTGCCTCAATACAGATATGCTGCAGATGAAATGCATAAAATGCAACTTTCCATTAAAATGCTGACCTTACCAGTACAACCATAGGCTAGTCTTGGGACAACAACACTATTCAGCAGTATCCACATATAACAGAGTGAGATATGCCTCAGAAACCAAAACACTGAAAAATAAATTGAATAAAAATATGTCAATATGCTTCTCTGCTGTACATCTTTATTTCTCATTTCATTTGATAGCTGGTCCAATTGACTTCGATGCATTTGAAGACATATCTATTTTTTGGGGGGGTCAAAAATCCCATAAAAACATCCTCAAAATTGAATCAAAGGTCCATTTCAAAACAGTGAGTGCTCTCAGCCATAAAGGAAACAATTTCCCTCTCCTTGGATTAGTATTTTTCTCTCTAAATGGTCTCTACAACAATAGAATAGTCCACTGTGGTTTTATTAAGATGAAAATTTGTTTTGACCATAGCATTTGTCATCTGATGTAAAAAGGGCAATTTTGTTAGGATGGAATTTTGAGTCTCCCATTCTGGATGTTATCATCGTGTTATGTTTCACGGAACTGCCTGGTCTGATTCAGAAGGATAAAAAAGAATTTTTAAGAAGAGAAGCCCAACAGTCTAAATGTGTTCAAGTAGTATGTGATTTGGGTTTGGTGCCTTTCCAACTGAAAGTCTTTTTAAAATGAGATTTTAAGTGGATTCGTTGGAAACTATTCCAGAAAATCAAAATCTGAATGTATAAGGTCACATGAAGAAATTCTAGAAAAAGAACTGAATTAGAATCAGATAGTGAAATGAACTTGTCCTGTTTTTAAAGCACTAAAGCTCCACATTTAAATTTATTTGTAGAAGAATCCCTGCATTCACTTGGTGTTGTACATTACATTTTACCAATAACACTTTTATCATTCTTAATCTCATCATCTTCTGAATATTTATTTTCATGATGAAAATGGTATAGTTCAGTGTTTCCACTTTTAAAAATTATGAAGGACCCCAAAAGAGCTTTGGTTTGTAAGGGTTATATTTATTGATATTTACTATACTAAAAATTAAGATCAATGCATTCATAGAATATTTATTGACTCATGTAAATGCAACAGTATTAATCCCATTAGATATTAACATAAAATATTTTTCATAAAATAGCCCTGTATTTTTTAACAAATAAAAAATAGTAATGAGAACATTGTTTTAAATTTTTGCAAATATCTTCAATATCTGGCAAATAATTTTGATTTTGCAGACCCCTGAGAAGGTATTGGGGGACCCCCAGGGTCCTTGGACCACAGTTTAAGAAACACTGGTATAGATTACATATCTGATTTTGGGTGTGTAATCATAGGACTATTAGGAGGAGAAAATCTATTTAGTTTTGCCAAGGAAAAGATATTACTCCACTAAAAAAATTGCTGCATATTTTATTCTTAAGTCATTGCAGGATTTTATATACTTAAAAAAAATTTTCAAAGGAATAATTTAGTTAAATATTTTAGAATGTGTCAGGCTGCAGTCATTCTTCCCAACTAACATTCCCAGCCAAAATAACTAACAAAACACTATTGAGAATCTAGCTTTGTCACGCTGATTTTTCCCCCAGTTGGGTTAATGGTTTTATTCTGTTGTTCTGCTCTGGGAGATAATGAAAAAAAAGTAGCTGAGAATTCAGCATTGCAAGAATTCAGGAATTATGAGTAATTAAAATTATGCTGTTAATTTGGAGGAGGGTAGAAACTAAGTAACAATAGACAGTACATGTCCTTGAACCAACTGGTTAGCACAGGAAAATGATACAGCTGGATTTACACCATACAGTACAGAAAGCCATAATGTGGTTTCTTTGGTGTGTTGTGTTGTGAGAATCCAAGTATTTTGGCACTGGCACCCACGAGAAGGAATAAGGGGCACTGATGAAAAGAGTGTTGCAACAGCAGCTGCCCTTTTGAGATGTCTGCTCTAATATTCTAAAAAGGATGCTTTTAAATTTGCAGATGATAAATTTATACCTTTAGAGGACATCATCTCAATTCAAAATGACTACTTTGACAGGCTGGGGCATTGGGCTAAACCCAACACGATGACATGTATAGCAATTCATCATCATCATCATCAACAACATATAGGTATAGGACTGGAGAGAAACCTAGGGCTAGTAATAGAACATCTGCTGAACATCAGCAATCTGCATGGTGAAACAGCTAAAACAGCTTATGCAATCTTGGACTGCATTAGTAAAAGCATTGCCTTAGGTTCACAAGAGGTAATTCCATAGTTCTCTGTGATGCTAGACCATAGTTGGAATTCCAGCATCATGCTTAAGATAAAATGGAGTAGCTGGGGTGAGTTCAAAGAGTTAGCAATATCACAAGGGGTCTGGATACAAACCTTCAAAGGAGTTGGGCATCTTTTGCTTGCAAAGAGAAGACTGAGGAAGAGAGAGTAGTCTACAATACCGTACCTGAAGGCTCTCAAATAGGACTTCTTTGAAGTACAGTAACACATTTAACATGCTAGTTTAATTTTGAGTGTGGCTTTTTATTTTATAATAGGAGGTCTTGGAGAGCCAGTTTGGTGTAGTGGTTAAGGCATCAGGCTAGAAACCAGGAGATCGTGAGTTCTAGCCCTGCCTAGGTATGAAGCCAGCTGGATGACCTTGGGCCAGTCACCTCTCTCAGCCCTGGGAAGCAGGCAATGGCAAATCACTTCCAAAACACCTTGCCAAGAAAACTGCAGGGACTTGTCCAGGCAGTCACCAGGAGTCAACACAGACTCGAAGGTCTTGATGGGACAGATGGCAAATGCGTATTGGCACAGACAAAAAATTAAGTGAATGCAGAAAGAGCAAAGCGGATTTCTGAAAGGGCAAAATGTGTTCCGTATTTTAGATTTTTAAAAGATGATATCTCACCTAATGATACATTTCAGATTAACATTTTCTCCCTGAACATATTTTCACTGGAAAAGGTCCTCTTCTATTTGAGAAACTTATTTTACATGCTGTATTAGGAAACCAAATTAAGTAAGAAAAACATCTTTCAAGTCCCATCACAGGCTTACCAAAGAAATACTTTAAATGTACAAAACATAAAGGTGGAATGGAACACTATGAAGGCTAGTAGGGAGAAATTTATAACCTTCTGCCCTGTTTGCACTTTATGTGCCTATTTTGTCCCAACCCCGTCTTCTCCCAAGGACCCACAGCAGTGTTCCGAGAATGTAGGCTATGCCACTCCACTGATGTCACATTACTGGCCATATCTATGTTGTTTTGAGGCAGAAGAACATATTAATGTGCTCCACAAAGTGAAAATGGACAATACTGTCCTGCTTCAAGGACTCACAGGATATTGGGTAGTTCCCAGAGAAAGTGGAGCAGGATTCTATACCCAAATTTGTATTCCGTGACCCAGTCAGTGTGATTGTGCAGTATGGAATCATCAGTAAGCAGTTCTGACTGCATTCAGCATATTGTATGATCAAGGCCACCGTCTGTATGAAGCATACTTCTGCTAGGCAGTCTAAAGTTTTATCAGTAAGCTTTTTCCAGTCGCTGCTTTTTCTGTGAACTGTTTTCACCTTGACTAACATATTTTCCCAAGCAAAGTGAAATTTTCCATTATGCTCCGTTCCAACCAAGGGCCAAGTTTATACCATGCTGAATTGAAATGTTGCCTTGATTTGGCAGATTTTGTTGATGACTTTTTTTTTTTTTTTACTTTACCCCTGGCTGCATTGGATTTTCTTGCTTAGGCTGTGCTAAGTCAATTGGATCAAATACTTTGTTTAAATTGGTGGACACAAATTCAATCTCTTAACCAGTAGTTGCTGGCAACTCTGAAATACTTTCCACTTCAAATTCAGAATCAGGAGTTTCATGGATTGCACGTTTGTTACCACTCTCACTATCCTCTCAATTCAACCCTGCTTCATCTTCCCTCTGCCCCGAGGAACCCTGTGTTGTCTGACATCAAATTTAGAACTTTTTTTATTTCCTTTTGATGGACCTTGGAAGGAATAATGGAAGATTTTGAAGACGGAATTCCTGAATATGGAGAAACCAGCTCTTTCTATTTAGAAAACATGGCCAAGCCAAGGAGAAGAGGGCCGAGATTAAGAGCATTGCAGAAATCCTTGCCCTGAAGGTCTCAATCTTAACTTTCAGCAACTCTCAGAAAACAGTCAAGCAGAGAAATTTGGGCCAAACTGCTTAAAATGGAGCTAGCAGTTACCTCACATTCTACATGACTGCATTTTACAAAGATGTGCAAAGGTGTAGTAAGACTGCGAAACTCTTGGTTTATGATTGCTTATTTCTTACCTGCATAACTCCCTCCTTTTATGAGTTCATACAATTGGTTCTTAACCCCAAACCCCACTCATTTTACAATGTAATATA